GATTTAGTCGATTTTCTCCTGATGGGAACATGTAAGACAAAAATAAAATTTCCAATATTATAGACCTTCTAGAGGAGATGCCGCGAAAACTATACAAGATATAGAAAAACTTGACTATCTCACCTGTAGCAAATTGAATAAGCTTTTTTTGGTTCATAGTAGTCATGTCACTAGGACCCATATGATTAAGCGAAAAACCGAAAAGTGGTACCTTTAAACCCCCCTCTCCCCGCCGGCTCAAAGGCTAAGGGCGGGGACTTTTGCTATGTTTACCTCCTAACTAACCTAAATAAAGTCCCAAAGTCAGAAATTGTGTTCCACGGTTTTCCATCTATAATGCTTTATTGACTGGACTAAAAAATCAACCAGTAGGTATAATTTCTGAAATTCTGAACCCATAGCAATGAGACTCTACTCAATATAATATTATTATGATGTGGCGATTATGGCTACTCAAGACGTGGCTTACAAAAGCCAACTAGGTACCTACATCAGAGGTTCCTAAACTTTTCTCAATTCAGTCTACAAAACCTTCAAGCTGTTTCAGAGCCATTCTGAGCGTTTTTATTCATAGTATGCAGGGTGGAATTTTGTAATGCCACCTGGAGGGAAAGTAGGTCTTAATATTGTAGACAGAAAAAAATTCTCAAAGAAAACATTCCTTTATTTTTGAAAAAAAATAGAACTGCAATCAAAGATTTGGATGGATGGATGAAATCTCTCCAACAAACTCTTGATAAATCAAATGAAAGGAAACCCATGAAATCTTAAATTATTTTAATTATGTACAGAAAATTGTATGGTATGGTAGTGAATTTTCGAAAAATTTTCGAAAATCTATGAAAACAGTTCTCTTTCTTTATAAAGGAACGTTTTCTTTCAGTAAATTTTTCTATCTACAGTATTAAGAGTACTTTCCCTCCAGGTGGCTTTACAAAATTCCACCCTGTATACGTATACCCTTAAAGGAACACATTGTTTCATATTAATAATCAAAAGGGAGGTCAAATTAGCTATGCACGTAGGATTGAGATTTCGTCTCATTGCGTGATGTTTTCGTTTGGTATTATTTTTATTATATTTATTGATTGTTATATACATAGTAGATACGGCAGGGACTTAGACCGGATCCCTGCTTTCCGGCTTACGTCGTAGCTACGGACCTCCCCGAAAATAGAGCAAACCATTTTCCTTTTATACTCAGCGCGAGCGAACATTTCATCACCGCGATTCAGGAATGCCTTTTCAGAATTTTATTTCTCAGCAATGATCCCGTTTTTTCCAACGATATTATCAATGACACTTAGGAAACGCCATAATCGGTCTGCAAAAAAATGTTCATGTCTATAATTTCAAAAATAAAGATTCTATTCACTATTTTCTTAATTTCGATGTCGTTTATGGTAGAGCCAGAAGGAGCGAAAGAGATGAATAGTTTCCTCAGCTACTCACCCTCTAATAAGGCTGAATTTTACCCCAACCACCGACTGAAATCGATTTTCAGAGAGGGACAGCAATTTTCAGACTACGAAATAGAGCAAGACGCAATACTGGGTACTAATTTTGGAAGCGTTAGAATCGTATCTTAAAGTCGCGCACGAAAATACATTTTCACATTTCAATTAACGCCCGTATTCACAGACGATGCTTGCTTAAGTGAAGCAGCAAATCGAACGCACAGCATTGAATTGAGCTCTGTGATTGGTTCGTGTGTCACCCTGTGTGTCCACGCGCACTTTGAGGCCTCATAGTAAATGTCTGTGAATACGGGCGTAAGAATTATACTTTTTCGCCAGTCTGCTTGTGACCACGGCTGTAGCATAGTAGCCGAAACGTCAAGCCGTGAGTCATCATCATCATCAACAGCCCTTTACAGTCCACTGCTGGACTATGAGCCTCCTCCACTATAGTGGAGGGTTTTGCCATAATCTCCACGCTTGGCAGGCGGGTTGGAGATCGCAGTTTAAAAGATTGATGTTTTTCAGAGAGCGCTGCTGCCCATTCTCTGTTTGATGTGTAGTCCCTAAGTCGCCTCTTACGACACCCGCGGGAAGAGTAGGGGTTGGTGACAAATGTATTCTACTCTGCCGTCACCACACGGCAAGCCGTGAGTACATAAATATAAATAACTCAGACATAAAACCCGTGTCTTTCGAATATTTTAGAATCTATAATGCTTTTAAAGTGTTTTAAAGTCGTATGATGTTGAGATTGAAATCAGATTTGATCTTTAATTCAAATCGTTCAGTTGTTCTAGTTTCACGGTGAATTAAATCGGATACCTACCTATCGTGACTTGAAATCAATTGATAGTACATTTTTAAGTTATTTTGGGTATTTGTTATGAAGTTTATGGATAAAAACATTTTGTTTAGTAAAATACCTAGTGCACATTAGTTACCTTGATTTAATCATAAATCATTCATTGTAAGTGACACTCCAGGGTACTGGATTACTCGTTGCCATCTTCGGGACTGTAATCCAATTTTTTACTTAGTCTACCATTGTCACGATCACAAACATAGGAAACCTCTTTTCTATGGTCTGTGGTCACGATATTTTATAGGATTATTTTGTTTGAATGTAAAATTCGGACGATTTTTTATATGAATCCGAACATTTCACATGCGTTATTAGAATTCTATTGATTCAACAATAACATTCTTAGACGGGGCTATGCGCGGAGAAGTGACAGCCACGTGGCCTGGCGGTTTGAGTATTGGACTCAATCCACCAGTTGGGGGGCGTCCATAAATTACGTGAGACTTTTAGGGGGGGAGGGGGTCAACAAAAACCTCACTAAATCTCACGTGGGGGAGAGGGGGGGTCTCAGGAAATATCACGTATTTTTTTCCACAAGAAATAGAGAAATAGAGTTTGCCAGAAAACTGGGTTTAAATCTTAAGTAAAAAAATTGGCCAAGTCCGTGTCGTCGGTCGTTAACAAAATATATTTCAGAAGCAAGCAATTACTTCATCTAAAGTCGCTTTTAATATTTTCTTCTAAGGATTTTTTATTAGATATGATAATACATGAGTTAAATGACTATTAGGTACTCTTAAACTAACTGACCTACCCTAACCGTTTTGGTTTTCTTGAAAGTTTATAAAAAGCAGTTTTTCCAGATTTTTCAAGTCAACAGTCTAGTTTTTAGAGTGGGGGGACGCCCTGCTCGAACCTAAATTGGCACTTTTAACTTTAAAAGTTTGCAAACGGACCCCTAAATTGAAAAATAGTCTTTGAAACCCCCAAGTCATCCAACGATATCCTACACGATGGTGTAGAAGATGAAAAAAAATTCATCCCCAGTTTACATGTAGGGGAGCTACCCTAAAAAAATGTTTTTTCAAAATTTTATTCTACTGTTTTGTCTAGTGCCAATAGTTTCCAAGCAAAACCTCGGACAGACAGACATATCGAAACTATAAGGGTTCCTTGTCAGGACTACGGGACCCTAAAAAATTATATTTTCTATGATGATAATGACATTTTATTCTATACCGTCTAAACAAATAAAACTAACAATGCTACCGTCTGCATGTGTGAATACTAAAATGTAGAATAAATGACGAAATTAAGAAAATTACAAAACAAGTTTTTTTTTATCAAAATCGATTTTGCTAGATTATGTAGAAAGGAACAATAATTACACTAGGTACTTCTGTAAAAAAAAAAACAATGAGACCCTAGCACTAACCGCTGTCACTACACGTGTTTTTCTGGATCTATTCTTAATCAGTGGGCTTAGTGCGACTTTATTTTATTTATTTATTTATAGGTACAACAACAGAATACAATCTCAAACATATATCGATTGTCATCCGCTAGCGACTGCGTAAAAAATGACATGCATTAAATGTATGATGATTGTACAGCGTCCCTAGCAGATACTTTCAAGAACTAAAATCTTAAACTTTATAGATCTTTTTGATGCACTCGTTAGCGACAACGGTACATGCAAACTCGCACTAAGCACACAAAAAAACTTTCTCAGTTAAATTACTCCACAACTATTAAATTTCTGGTTTTTTTTAAATATCACGTGAGATTAGGGGGTGGGGGAGGGGGTCCGGCAAAATCTCACCANAGCAGATACTTTCAAGAACTAAAATCTTAAACTTTATAGATCTTTTTGATGCACTCGTTAGCGACAACGGTACATGCAAACTCGCACTAAGCACACAAAAAAACTTTCTCAGTTAAATTACTCCACAACTATTAAATTTCTGGTTTTTTTTAAATATCACGTGAGATTAGGGGGTGGGGGAGGGGGTCCGGCAAAATCTCACCAAATCTCACCAAGGGGGGCGGGGGGGTTGAAAAATAGCCAAAATTGTCTCACGTAATTTATGGACGCCCTCTTGTTGTGGTTGCGGGTTCGAATCTCGAAGAGCGAAATTTTTTTGTGATGATCATAAGGAATAACACAACTGTAGCTGAATCTTAAGCATTTTTTAAAGCTTTCAGCTACCTACTTCTTTATTTATCTACCCATCTTAAAATTTCCATTACTTCTTCTCAGAGTTTAATTGAGAAGTTTGAAGGTGTCTTCCATCATTTATAGTCTCCACACTCTCCACTGCAGGAGAACTGTCATTATTTACTGATAATTTGGCAGTTGGAATGAAGGAATGATCATTAAAAAATAGTAATATAGATGACCCACACTGAACTGTCCCACCAAACTCAATGACAGGGGGGCGCTACCATCGTTCAACTAAATGGTTTCCAACATGGCAAACATCGGAACCAGCGATACGGTATTGACGGTGGCGCCCCACTGTCAATGTCATGGATAGGATAGTTCAGTATTTTGGAACTATAATGCTATTTAAATTGTGGAAAGATAGAATGTCATTACCGAAGAAAGGAATGACGGTATATTAATGTCATTAATTTAACTAAACTGTCTGGATAAGGTGTCTTTCAGAGGTATGAAAAAGTCTTTAGAAGGCTTTCAAGTGTCTTTGACTAGTATAAAATTGTCTTTATCTTTGTTCCAGGTACCAACCGTCAGTCCACATGGACAGGGCAGTGGTCACGTGATGTGACAAATAATGTGACACGGCTGCAGCTCAACAAAATGGCCGCCGGCACAAGATGGCGATCGAGGCGACTCGGCGCCATCTTATTCGCGATACTGATACAAGTTGTTAATGGTGAGTTAACTATTAAATACCTACGTTTATCATCATCATCATCATCATAGTCGTTTGATAATGAGGGCTATCGTTTTTATACTTAACAGTTGGCACCCCTGGCGATTGACAGGACCTTACTCTACAGTGGCGCCATCTTGATGAGTGCAAATGCGATAGTCCTCCTACCACTTTAGCGCTCACCAGTTGGTGCCACTGTCTTCGCTACTAGCAAGTGACAGGACCTTACTCTACAGTGGCGCTAACTGGTGAGCGCTAAAACGATAGCCCTCATTATACGTCATCATCATCAGGTCATTAGTCTCCACTGAAGGAGCAAGGTGGACCGATGACATCATAAAGGTAGCAGGGAAGCGCTGGACGCAGGCCACTACCAATCGATCAACATGAAAGCATTGGGGGAGGCCTATGTTCAGCAGTGGACGTCCTATGGCTGAAACGATGATGATGATGAAGGAGGAATCCTCTTTAATTTAGCAGAGGAAAATGGAGAATTTGGCCTACACTTCCCAGTCCAGGAAGTGGCAGGTTGGATTCATACGAGTGACCAATGAATTAGTAACTGATTCCATAAGTATTACGTCGGTATCAAATGGCGTAAATTGACCTTGTTTCCACCGGAAATAGCCATTTTTGTACTTTTTTAATTAGTTGTTTCAGGCTTAGCACCACTTTTCTGAACTTGTGCAATTACCCCCTTACTAATAAAACTTACACCACACTTACCTACACGCTCGTTGAACAGTGTTTTAAAGTGACGTTTAGTATGGAAATGTCATTTTTAAAACAGTGTTCAACAACTGTGTAACTTTTTATTAGTAAGGGGGTTAGAGTTTATTTTAGTATCAAGTGACGGGTTACCTCCGAAAAATCGAATGACAAATGATCGAAAATCAAAATATCGAATGATTGAAATATCGAAAATCAATATAGAGGTTTTAATTTTTCATATTTTATGATAAATGTAAATTATGTGGTCCTACCCCCCACGGGGGAGGGCTTATTAAAAAAAAAATTTGAATCTACACAAAAATGTTATTTATTTCATTTAACTAATATGTACCCGTCAAAACTGAGTTTTTTGATAAAAACTAAAATTCATTAATTTTTTTCAAGTTTTTTGGTCATTATTTTTCATTTTTGTGTTTTTTTAATGACACATTACCTATTATTGGCTTAGAAATGCAATTTTTAGGGTTCCGTAGTCCTGACAAGGAACCCATAATAGTATACTGTTTTTTATATTATTGTTTTTTATTCTACTCCTACTTTAAACAGTTGTGTAAAAATTTCTTGGATTAAGGTGTACGTAGTCCTGACAAGGAACCCATAATAGTATACTGTTTTTTATATTATTGTTTTTTATTCTACTCCTACTTTAAACAGTTGTGTAATTTCTTGGATTAGGGTGTACTTAAAAGCGGAATCAAATCCATTGATGGATTGGGGTATACTCTGATGCGGAAACAAGTCCATCGATGGACTAAAGTGTACCCAGAAGAGGAATCTAATCCATTAATGGATTTGGCCACTGGATTACAGTGAAATAGGGGAAAATTATTACGATCTTACTCAAATCGGTAAGACCGTATACAAAAATTTATCGATCATCAAAGTTATCGATTTTCATTGCAAACAACTTTGGGCACCTCTTAGCTACTTATAAAATCGGAAAAAAACAAATGATATCGCGAGTGAAGTAAGCACAGCGCCATCTAGTGGTTTAACCAGGCCTGTTCATCTCCGCAAGTTTACATCGAAAACAAAACAAGCACGATGGCACCCTACAGGATTACTATTCGACGAGGCCTCACATACGAGAGAGCATTAACACACGCACGCGTATTCTTGTGTATGATGGAAAAAAATAAAGAAAATGGTGTACTAAATACTGTGCAGTATTTAACTGCCTAAATAATAATAATAAAAAAAAGTACTTTTTTAAGTTGCCTGAAGACGCTGAGAGGTAAACAAGTGGTTAATATTATTCATGTTAATTCATGCTTAATCATGTATTTCCTCCGCCATTTACTGCAGTTTGGCACCTCACGTTTTACCGAAGTCAGCCCTATGACTACGGCGCAGTACCGATCACTGACGTTTGTCAACAAAATGGTGCTTGACTCTTGAGACAAGCTAAATTACACCATTTATTGTTAACTTGCGGCCGCCCGCGACTTCGTGCGCGTGGATCTCGTTTTACCCCCCCCCCCCCCTTCATCTATCTTACGCGGTTCAGATATTTTCATACAAATGTTTTTTCCCGCTAACTCTCGTTCCCATGAGAATTTTGCAATATCCTGTTGTAACTAAGCTTTAAGTTTACTAAGGTACCTGCATGCCAAATTTCAAGAGTCTATCTTACGCGGTTTAGATTTTTTCATACAAATGTTTTTTCCCGGTAACTCCCGTTCCCGTGGGAATTTTGCAATATCCTGTTGCAACTAAGCTTTAAGTTTACTAAGGTACCTGCATGCCAAATTTCAAGAGTCTATCTTACGCGGTTTAGATTTTTTCATACAAATGTTTTTCCCACTAACTCCCGTTCCCATGGGAATTTTGCAATATCCTGTTGTAACTAAGCTTTAAGTTTACTAAGGTACCTGCATGTTAAATTTCAAGCGTCTAACTTAAGCGGTTTAGATTTTTCGTACAAAAGGATTTTCCCGCTATCTTTCTTTCTTTCTTTCTTTCTATCCTACTTTGCCAGAACCATACGAGTAACTACTAACTTGCTGTGACCGTGACTTTTTGATTAATTTCTCTTTTTCCCAACATTTTGCCATATAGCTTTTAGTCTTCCTTGATAAATGCTATCCAACACAAAATATTTTTTTCAAATTGGACCAGCAGTTCCTGAGATTAGTGCGTTAATAAATGTGCATGTGGATTGAGTGATCCTTGCTTCAATCTTAACAAAAATCGAGGAAGTTTTACTTAAAATATGTTAAAACATTGCGATGAAGTTTAAAAATTTGTTAAACCTAAGATAAAAATGTTATGGCCAATAAATAGGAGCACTCATACCGCACGCTTTAAGAAAACGTCAACATGTTTATTTCAGAAAATAAAGCCTTTCCGCTTCTTTTTATAGTATTGAAAAATTGTTAAGAATATGTTAAAACTATTAACAAATTCAGAAATTCCTTGCACGTCCCGTTCCAAAGTTATGACGATTATTTAGGATCACTCACACCGCACACGGGCCGTATGAGTGCTCTTCAAAATAATGACTTTTTATTAATAAATACGTTTTATTTCTGTTGGGAAATGTGTGCAAACTGACGAGCGAATTTGTTAAAGAATAAGTGTGACAAAACTTAAAAGCTGAAGGAAGAAATTAACCTTTATTCTTTCCTCCAATATGCCGTGTGAGTGATCCTTACTTTTACCTCTATCTGCTCATATGTAGTTCGTAGGCAGACTGAGATAGTATCTAAAATTGTTAATTGTTTTTAACAATTATTTGGCATATATTTTGCTTTTATTAAGGTCATAATTTAAGAAATATCAGGCTTAGATGATTCCTAAAGGAAAATGTTGATTAGGGTACGTATGATTTTTTATTTTGAGAGACTGTTTCGATTCATCAGAAGTTTACATGTGAGATTTAATAATATTATTTTATCGTATTTTATAGTCCAACCAAAAAAAAAAAGTTTTGTTGAGAAATTTGTAATTTATTTAAATAAAACCGTGAGTATCTTTCTCAATTCATATTACAAGTCAAATTTGAATTCAATCCTATAAACAATTGTAATGTTTCTTTATTTCTATCATTCAAGATGTAGGGGTAAACCACTAAAACTCGCGCTACTGCCGACCGCGGCGACGGACGCCCCCCGCGAGTTTTAGCGGAGGCCCCTAAACCTACTACATATTAGATTGCATTGGTTTTGCATTGTCACGTCTGACGAATCGGAACAGTCTCACAAAATAAAAAATCATATGTACCCTAATCAACATTTTCCTTTAGGAATCATCTAAGCCTGATATTTCTTAAATTATGACCTTAATAAAAGCAAAATATATGCCAAATAATTGTTAAAAACAATTAACAATTTTAGATACTATCTCAGTCTGCCTACGAACTACATATGAGCAGATAGAGGTAAAAGTAAGGATCACTCACACGGCATATTGGAGGAAAGAATAAAGGTTAATTTCTTCCTTCAGCTTTTAAGTTTTGTCACACTTATTCTTTAACAAATTCGCTCGTCAGTTTGCACACATTTCCCAACAGAAATAAAACGTATTTATTAATAAAAAGTCATTATTTTGAAGAGCACTCATACGGCCCGTGTGCGGTGTGAGTGATCCTAAATAATCGTCATAACTTTGGAACGGGACGTGCAAGGAATTTCTGAATTTGTTAATAGTTTTAACATATTCTTAACAATTTTTCAATACTATAAAAAGAAGTGGAAAGGCTTTATTTTCTGAAATAAATATGTTGACGTTTTCTTAAAGCGTGCGGTATGAGTGCTCCTATTTATTGGCCATAACATTTTTATCTTAGGTTTAACAAATTTTTAAACTTCATCGCAATGTTTTAACATATTTTAAGTAAAACTTCCTCGATTTTTGTTAAGATTGAAGCAAGGATCACTCAATCCACATGCACATCGTTAATAAAAGCAAACAAACAAACTCTTCAGCTTTTTATAATAGAATAGAAAGTATTTATTTGTCTTAAAATAGGTTTCATTTACAGTTTTTCACAGATACAAAAATCATAAGAGACAAAAAGGTCTATGACTCAGTGATGTAAGAGACAAAAAGGTCTATGACTCAGTGATTGCAGGAGACCCACAAACCCTGTTATTCTACCATAGCCAAGATATACATTAGTAAATAAATATTAATTTATAATTAAAATTACAATTTACTAAAATTACAAATTGCTATGTGAATTTATAATTAGCCAGTGCCAGAGATTTCGTACTGGAAAAATCCCGTCTTAGTGAGCATCTACATTCTAAAAGGAACCACCATGCAAA